GCGCCCAGCGCTGCAACGGGCCCTCGCGCCGAGGTGGACGGCGGGCCGGGCTCAGCCGGGGCCCCGCCGGGCTGCGCCTTCCCTGCCGTGCGCCACAGAGGCCGCCGCGAAGCCGGGGCGAGGGCGAGGCCGCGAAGCCGGCGCCGTCTGCGCCGACTGCCCAGTGCGCGGCGGCGCGGACGCATGCCCAGCTTAGAGTAGCCGGCCCCTGAGGCGCCCGGACTGGGAAGGGGCTTTTTGCCGAAACGCCAAACGGCGCCGGTGGTCACACCGTCCTAACACGCTTGTTTCTGCCGACAACACCCGTGCCCGTTTCTCAGCGGCGTGCCAGTACTCCAGTTCATTACTGGACAACTACTCTCCTGTATGCTGACTCGTAGACTCAGTCTCTGTGGTGGCCGCCTGGTCAACGTCAACATCCGTTCTGCCCCGACGGTGCCACTCAGTTAAGCGGGGTGATTCTACGGCTCTCGTTGGTGGCAGCTCGGAAGGGGGCACGTGGCCCAGGGATCCTGGGAAAAGAGACCAAGGAGACCCTTCTTTTGGCATCACGGGGTATGATATGTGGAGCTGCTGCAGCCATCTTGGTACCATGAGGCTAACCTGCCGAGGATGAAGTTTCTCCTGAGGATGGAAGGCGGAAGATTAAAGCAACCCGCATCTTTTCTTTTAAAAAACTGTCACGTTATTTATATTCACAAATAAATCTGTAGCCATCAATTTATATTGAAAGGATAGATACATACGAGCCTTTTCAGATGTGTGGATTCTTTCTGTTTTCATCTCGAAGAGTATTTGTTTTCTTTTTTTCATTTCTCTCTCCTTTTTTCCCTCTTTGTTGCAATGGCTTTGGGGTCCAAATATTCTTGTTTGCGTGGGTGCATGAGGTTGTTCCCAAGAAGCCTGGGCTTGAAGTGTGCCCGACATCCCCCCTGTGTAGTTGGTACTCGGCAGGGGATCGTTTCTGCTCATCCACCGCTTTCCCCCTTCCCCTTCTGAGCCTCTTGTGTTCCTCCCACGACTCCTCCTCCTGCCTGTTGCTCTGGCTGGGTCTTCTGGAACCTGCGCCCTTGACGGCAGTGAGACGTTTGTTTCATCAGCCTGTCTTGGCGTCTAACCGGTGGATTTCTTGTTAGGGTAGGTGATGTGCTTATTGCTTGAGGTTGTCTGTTTGCTGTTGGTTATTTGCCGCCGAAGACTCTCGGCTGACGTGAATGTATGTCATTTCTACGTGACCCTCATACCTATTCTAAATTTTTACTTTGAGGTAATTTCACGTGTTTTTCCCAACCGGGTAAAAAGGCAGGGCGCTTTATTCGCGACACGCGGGGGGCGCAGACTGTCTGCCTCTGGCCCGGGGCTCCCCGGGCTGGAGGGGCGAGACACCGGCA